AAAATAATGATGAAGGCAATGTGGTATGTATGCTAACAATAATGAAAATAGCATTATTATGATATACTAGTAGTAATAATATAATATTAGTATATACTAGCATCACAATAATCCTTCAAGTATGAGTCTATCATTTATGTTAGGCATTGGACTTATAAACTGTAGAAACATATAGCTTGAATAACAATCATCTCGTAGGGCAAAAATTTTAGCAAAGTGGAAGATAGATAGAACGATCATGTCATGAAGCAAGGAATAAACAGAAAAATAATCTCGTGCGAGTCAAATGAGGCAAGTCCTACAAAGAAAAAAAATAGCTTGGCTCTATTGTTGACGAATAAGTAAAACCATCATCTCGCGCATTGAGACATCCCACAAAGTAAGGAAAACACATAACTAACTCACTTGGCAATGCATCTTGTTGGGGGAGACATCTTGTGAGGTACGGAATGGACATCCCAGATGATGAGGCATTTGACGAGGTGAGGACTTGCAGGTCAATAAGGCAAGTCCCCTTGGGAAAAGTAGCTATACATCCCCTACCGGGGCTAATACAATATTCTATTATTTGGCGAGGCCTCTCGTGAGGTGGAAATTGGACATCCCATGTGATGAGGTATCATTAAGGTGAGGAAAAATGTGGCTCGTGTAGGTTAAGGATATAAGTCTTCCTTGGAAAAATATCTATACCTTCTTTACCGAGGTCGACATAATATCGTTTCACACGGTGAGGCATATTGTAAGGTGAGGGCTGGACATCCCATGTCATGAAGAATCAGCGAGGTGAGGAAAGAGGTGGCTTATGCAAGTTAAGGATTTAAGTTCTCAATAAAATAGCTATACCCCTTTGTGAAGACTAATGCAATATCATCTCATGTAACGAAACATCTTGCAAAGTAAGGAATAAGTATAACATATCAAATGGCATTGCATGGTAAGACATCTTACGAAGTAAGGAATAAACATCTAGAGGCATTTCATAAAGCAAAGAATAAGTACAAACATCGCATGGAGAGGCATTTCACAAAGCGAGGAATACACATTTCCTTTGATGAAGTAACTCACAGAGCAAGGAATAAGATCAAGTTGGTGGCTCGTCTAAAGCTATCGGAAGCTTATAAGCTAGTCTCATAAGGACGATGTCTTATAACTGTACTCGACAATAGTGAGATCATGAAATGGTGGCTCATCACAACTATCAACGACTTATAAGCTTTCCTCTGAGGATGAGGTGTTATGATTGTGCTCGACAATAGTAAGAGTCACGAGCTAGAGGCATAACTATAACCATCTTGCTTGATGAGACATCTAGCAAAATGAGAAATAAATATTTCGTATGGCGAGACATTTCGTAAAGCGAGGAATATACATCTCGCGTGACAAGGAATAAACATCCCCCGAGATGAAGAATAAGCATTTCGCAAAGTGAAAAATAAACAACTCGCAAATTGAGGAATAAATAATAAGAAATTCCAGAGCTAGTCTACTAGATCGAGGATTTATGAGCCTCCCTTTGATAATTGGAGGCCTTACGAACTTGCTTTGGATGCATGAGGACTTACAGTTTCTCTCATCAATAGAGAAAGTATGTGTTAAGCAATTGGAGTTCTTATAAGCTGGCCTCGAGGGATGAGGTCTTGTAGCTTACTTCAACAATAGATTGGTAGCTTCTTTAAGATCTGCAACTGTTTTAAATTAAAAGAACTTGATCCTTACCTCTAGTCAAACATTTGGTGCCCACAGTTATAATATTTAATTATTTCAATAGGTTGGTATGACAAACCTCAAAATTGTGCTCCCTTTCTCAATCTAGTGAAAGAATAACATCAAGAATACCATAATCTAATAACTTTTCAAAAATGCAACAAGAAGGCCCGTTGAAGTAATAAACATGAAGCAATCGATTTCAATTGGTAATAGCTTAATTGTTCTATGTCCACATAAAATGCATGCTAAGATTTTTTTAAGTGAATCTCAAACTAATGCTCTTCAATGGTGATTACCAAGGTTAATTAATACTTTAAAACCATTTTTGAAGTACTCTTACCATTTAGGAGTTCTTATTGTCTTTGGTTCTCGTCCCTTGGTCCCCATAAGAGAGAACATAATAAACTGGGCCAAATAATGATCACCACTCTAGAAACAAAATGTAGTCTCCCCAAGAAGAGGAATAAACACAAACTCATTGGTGAAATCCAAGTGGCACAGACATTTTAGATAAGTAAAGAGCCAATAGCCTTGAGAAAATAAATCTCTGGGTCCAATTCATGTAACCCAAGAGGAAGGAAAAATAAAGAGGAAATTGCCCCCATACCTACCCTTATTTTCTAACTTAGTATTTCAAAAATCAAAATTTAACTTTATTCTTTAAAAAATCAAGATACTATATCCCCATCCCACTTCGCATCACCGTCACCACTACCGTCTACCACCACCACTTCTACCATCGCCGTTCACAACTACAGCACATCAATCAATTAGAGTTCTAACGATCTTAATATTGTATTTTTGTAAGGCTTAATAACAGAAAACCTACATATTTGATGATGTACGGAATACGGACCTATTGAAAATAGCAGAAAATGTCCATGTTTGAAACATTTGTCTACAACATTTTAGGTGCGGAAAACTCCCTACCATCCAATTCAATTAGTTTAACCATTAAAAATAGTAAATATTGCCAAAATTAAAAATAAATATTTTCAATTTCGGTTTCAAACTTTTTATTCTTTTCCAAATTATAACCAACTTTTTTTTTCACATCCACCGATCTCAAACATTTAGCGTGTGTTTGATAGCATGGATTTTCCATGTAAAATGGAATTTTCCATATTTGGTGTTGTTTGATGTCCAAACTTTTTCCACCCAATTGATGAAAAAGTTTTCCCTCCACGCGCCATTTTCTAGGCGTGTAGGGAAATGATTTAGGTGAGAAAATCGAATTCTGACTTTTTTTTTACAATAGAAAAAAATTTCATAACAAATTATTTAAAAAATCACTTTAATAGACAATTTTCATGTAAAATAAAATCAAACGAATACTAAACTTTGATTAAAAATGATTTTTTAGGAAATTTTATTTTTTTCATTTTATTTTATTTTTTTTTTACTTTTGGGCAATGGAAACAAATTTTATAACCAATTATGGAAAAAAAATTATCACTTTAATGGACAATTTCCATATAAAATAAAGTCAAACGAGCACAAAAAGATCCAAAATTTTAAAAAAATTTCGGGTGGAAAATTATATCAATCAAACACACTTAATTAACAATTTCACGGAAAACAAGTTTTAGGCAATTATTTACTCTGGAATTTATTTTCTTTCCACCAATTTTCCACACTTACAATCAAACGGACCATTAAAATTTTATTTTCCTCCCCACCCCACCCTACTTCATGTTTCCAAACCCACCCCAATCAAAACCGCCTGCCACTACCACCACATCTCTCCACCCTAGTGATGGCAATGGAGCCCGCCCCACCCTACCCCGCCATGCCACTTCCTTGCCCGGCCTTGCGCCCCTCCCCGTCCCGCCTCGCCTTGCCTTAGACGAGGCGGGGCACGGGCCAGCCCAATTTCCTGCCCCATTTGTTAGTTTTTTTTTTTTCAATTAAAATACAAATTCAAAATTTTAAAATTCAAAACAAATAATGTTCAAACTAATAACTATATCAATATTCAAAGCAAGCACTTGAAACAAAAAAATGTCCAAAACAATTTTTTTTTTTTTAATTCTTCACGGGGCAGGTTCAGGGCGGGACATCTCCACCCCGCCCCCCTCCCCCGGCAACCCGTTCGAGGCTAGTTTTTTATTTTATTTTATCAAAAGCCATGAATCACTGCCTTCCTCAAATTGCTAACACCCAAATTCCTATTTCCTAACATAATCCAGTTTAAAAAGCAAAGCCAGTAAGCTCTCATTCATCTTCAACTTTTCATTTTCATTTTCATCTTTCTTAACCATCTCCACAACTTGACTTTTCAAAAGCCTCGCGTCAATCTTCATAAACCTAGATATTAACATTCTTGGGCTTGTTATGGACTGCATATCCTTGCCATTAGAGGAATTGAAGCCCCAGTACTAACAAATTGTATCAAATTTAGCTGGTAATTCTTCTGTGGTTAATTTTCCTCTCTTGTTGATGATGGGTTCATCGGAAATAATTCTACCTCCACACATTTGTTTGTTTTTAATTCTTGAAAAGGAGATTATTGAGAAAATAAAAGATAGATTCAATATAGAATATATTGAAAGAACTTGATGAAGGAAAATATGTAGATCACTTATTATTCATCAAAAGCTCAATTAACATTGTGACTACATTGATTTATTTATAGGCTAAACTATATAACAAACTAACTACATAACAAATTAAAGAAGGATCTAGAATAAGCATCTAATAACAAATAGGAAAAAGATCTAGAAGAAGGATCTAATATTGGAATATTCTAACACTTCCCCCTCAAGATGGAACATCTTGAATTGTAGAGAGAAGAATCCAGCAGTGAGGCAATCCAGAGAAAACAACAACATAAATCAATTGGAATAAGTGAGCATTCATGGTTCTAAAATCGGGCATTTGCTGAAGACAAACATCATCAACATTGATGAGTAAAAGGAAAATTGAAAATGCTAAACAAAGTTCAGCAATGAAATATATCCCTCTACGCTCTCTGATTTTTTTTTTTTTTTATAGTATAATCCACAAAGGACCTCTAGAATTAATAACCAATCTGCAGCATCTACTAATAGACAAAGCAATTCCATAGTTCATTCAGTATGCCACTAGAATGTAATAATTGGCACTATTTTCACTCCCACTAGTCAAATCCATACTCTGGTATTCTAATTCTGGATCTTTACTAGAATCATCTAAATGTGATGACTCGAAAGAAGGACAATCTGAAAGGGATTCCTTACAATATGTCCCTATATTTGACAAAAGATGACAAAACACCCTCAAATGACATGACATTGAAGGTAAGTAAGCAACGCCTATCGAACATTCCAAGAGCACTGCTGGGATCCAACAATGATCGTCATCATCATCACCAGCAGGCTCCTTGGCTTCCTCCTTAACTGGTGCACAGCAGGAGCAGCGTGGCCTCCAATTCTCACTCCTGCAGCCTTCCCTGGAAAGCTGGCTGCTACCTTTGAGGAAATACTCTCAGACCAATGACTGGCATTAGTGTACAGATCGCTCGGTTTCTCCAAAACAGCTGCATACACCTTAATATCATCTTTCGTCAATTGATCCTCGGAGATGTAAGATTTGTTGGAGAGAAACTCATTAAGGGCCTTAAGGCCGGATTCTGTGTTCAAAACTGAGAACGTAACAGCCATTTTAGTGATTTTAGAGAGAGAAATTATGGGACTGAAACTTAGAGGGAGTAACGCTGAAGACGGGGTGTAGAGTTGTACTGAAATGCATATGGAAACCTTGTGGGGAGTTAAGGCAAAATTCCCCGGTGGCTTCAATATTCCAGCCATTGTCGTTGTGATTAAACTATTGCTATTAGTCTATGAGGATGAATTTCAACTGGGAATTGGCGGTGGGTTATAGGGTTTTTACAACTGGAGCTGAGTGCACGGATGAGGAGACAAGGGGGAAGAGAGTGACATAGGTGCAGACGGAATGAGCATTTTGCTCTAATACCATATTGAGAAAATAAAATATAGATTCAGGTCCTGTTTGGGAGGGATTCTCAAAATTTTACAGTAAATCAATTCTCATTTTCAACCACACATTCTTCAATAAAATAATATTTTCCATCACATCAATAATTTTTTCTTCTTTTTCAACCACACATTTCCCATCATATCACTATTCAAAATCAATTCTTCCCCCAAAAATTTCTCCCAAACAAGCTATCAATATAGAATATATTGAAGGAACTTGATGAAGGAAAATATGTAAAACACTTATTATTCATCAAAAACTCAATTAACATTGTGAATACATTGATCTATTTATAGGCTAAACTATATAACAAACTAACTACATAACAAATTAAAGAAGGATATAGAATAAGCATCTAATAACAAATAGGAGAAAGATCTAGAAGAAGGATCGAATATTGGAATATTCTAATAGAGATAGTTATAAAAATATGTACTCGAGGAAAGCAATGATTCATCGATGCAAATTTTAAGGATGATGATGAACATAATTCCATATCTTTGTAATCTTCATTTAGACATTCAAGATTTGTGGCCATTTTTGAGTAATAACAGATTGTTAATCTTAGTGCGTGTGAATTTGTGTGTGTTAGTGTGTGTTTTGAAGATGCTTGGTTTTAGGGAGGTGTGTAGAGGAGGAAAATGCAGACGAAGAGAATCGGAGAGGTGGTCCCAATTTAGAAAAGCCTGAAAGAAATTGTCAGAAATAATATCTTTTTGATTTTTATTTCATTTATCATCTTTTTGATTTTTGATTTAATTATTTTAATTGGGAGCGGGGAAGAGCGATAAAGTGGGGTGGGGTGAGGTGAGGTGAGGTGAGGTGGGGTGAAGTGGAGTGGAGTGGGAGTGGGATGAAAAATAAAGTTTTAAAGGTTTGAGATTGTTGGTAGCACGCATAAAAAATTATAATTTGCAAAAAAAAAAAAAAAAAAATTAGGACAGAAACTACAAATATTCATGTTAATTTTGACAATTTTTATTGTTTTTAACGGTTAAACTAATGAAATTGGACAGTATATGAGTTTTCCGAACCTTTGTATTCCGCACAAAAAAATTTCGAACAAGGATCTTTTATGTCATTTCAAATAGATAAGGGGTATTCTGCACATCGTTAAGCATGTAGAAGGGTTTCTACCATTAAGTCATTTATGTAAAAATAGTATTAAATTTAGCTCCCATTTGTTTCTCATTTTTCATCCATAAAAATGAAAAATATGACCGTTATCCATCACATCAAGCCATCAATTTTGAATTTCTATATCTTGTGTGGGACCAATAACGATTATATTTTTTTTTCTCATTCTACAATAATGAAAATCAAATAGGCCATTAGAGAGAAAAGTGAAATTCAAAGCATGAATTTTTGCATTTGAAAATTGTGTAATTTTTTTGACAGAAAGGCGTGCTATTTATTTATTCAAGGCTATTCGAATAGTCTAAAATACTCTTCAAAATTGTGATGATTATTCAAACACCCTTTCAAATGAACAGAGATTTGTCCAAATTGAGGATGTGTATAACATCCCGAATATTTTAGAATAAAAATTTATTTGTTCTCTATATTATATTTTATTATTTTGAAAAGACTAAAGTGATATATGTATTAATTTCAATTTTAGGCTAAATTTTTAGATATTGTTAAAGAGACTAAAAGTATATCAATATGGGCCTCGTTGGATAGGTCATAATTAATCATATAAATTAGGCTCGAGAAAAAGTTAATTCGGATAAATTAGTCTCAAAATATTGAAGTTCAAAAAAATTGTAATTTATTTATTTATTTAAAGTAAATTGGAATGAGGATAGCCACGTGAATGGATGTGGGATAATTTTTTTTTTTTTTTTAGAATTCTATTTAAAATCAAGTTGTCATCATTATCACGTATTAGAATTAAAATCACATTTTTGTTGTAATAAGTATTTTGTACACATGTCACCTTGTGATTAGTTTACTAGAAATTCAATTTTTACCAAATATGATAAATACGATTTTCCATCACAATTGTATCATGACTCAACTACTATGTTTTTTGCTATAAATAGTGTGTCAATGTCCCACAATTCACTACCGCATAATTTTACACAGCAGTTTTCATATAAAGTCGTTGTAAATTCTAAGTATATTTTTATTATCAAAAGTTTGTTTAATCAATCAAGGTAAGATACTTTTTGGACAAGTTGTTCGTTTCCTTATACTTTTATATTCAGTAATTTATGCATGAATTGTCAGTGGACTTTCGGGTTCAACCTAATGGAATGTGAACTCTTTTGGCTTCTTATTAATGAAATGTGAAATCCTTCAAGAATTCAAAATGAGAAATTATGGATATTTCGTTTGGTCAGCGATATATTCCATAAAGAGAAATGTGGTATGAATTGTCCATGTTATTGTTATATAATTGTATATGGAAACTACACTTATCTTATTTGGTGTTTTAAAAATACTCACTCCTACAAATTTTTACAGGCTAGATAGGGTCGATTGGAGCTGTGATGGGATGGTACAGCAGACTGCCAAGGGATTTCGACATACAAAAATAATAAGTTTTAATACCTTTAAATTCATTAGTTTGTTTTGGTTCATAACGTTATTATCGAGTTTATTAGTTGTGAATATTTAAACTTTTTAAAGACAATATTTATTAATTCAAATTCAAATTCATGGATGTTCTAATATTTTGTTATTAAAGAATTTTATCGTTCCGTATTTTAAGTAAATAAAGGTAAATGAAAATAATTTTTGGTAGCACCTTAAGATATTTGAAATTTTGGGACGTCACAGTTTGGTATCAGAGCAAAGGTTTTACTTTCCCGCAAACTTAAAAAAAAAAATGTAAACAGTGACAAAAAAAAAAATTCTTTCTTTTATTTTGAATGATAGATGTTGGTTTAAAAATTTTGAATAATAATAGTATATAATTTAAATTGTTATGGTTTAAAGCTCATAATTTAAGTTTCACGTGCGATAAATTTTTATGTGTTTAGTTTAACCTTTGATGATGTTTTTTAGGGAAAAAAAATTATTACTAGTCTAAAAATTCACATTTTAAGAGGTTTTATGTTCGACTTATTGTTATAGTTTTATTGATTTGCGTAATTGTAAAATTGAAAGGTTTTGTCAAAAAGACATAAACTGTCTAAAAAGAGTTTTAGATTTAAGCGGTCCGTTGTGACCCCCCTCCTCATTTGGAAGCCTTTTGATTGCACATTATTCAAATTAACGAGATGAAATATAATATTTCAAACCTTTCAAAATATAAAAAGAAATTTTATTATTATTATTTATATTTTTTTTTTGAAACTTCATTTTTTTAGAAAATCCTATTTTTGGAGATTTTCACAAATATTAGGAGTTTATGGACAATGTGAAAGTTAAAGTCTTAAACATGTAATGAGATGAAGAATCCTTGGCACGTAGCACTCACTACTCGATCACTCTCCAATTGATCCAAGGTATGAAAAGAAATGTTATTCCTTTAGCATGTTTTTAAGTCAGCTTGCTTTATATTATGAGATGTATAATCATGTTTGCTTCGCATATTTTATTAGTTGTTCAAATTTTCACAAATTATATGAGTATTATTGATGCAAACACGGAATGAAATATATGGTCACTGAAAGATTAAGCATAATTGAAGTTATATGTGTCACATGATTAGGAGTTGGAAAGTAACTAGGATGACTGGAAATAGCCCTACATACCTACAACATGCTCAAATTGCTATCGAGAGATACATAGATTACGAAGTAAGATGCGAACATTTGTTGAACATGTTGAAAACGTCCTTCTTAAGTGGGAGACGGCAAGATCGTTCGGATATAATGAGGGGACAATCCTCTCAATATATCATCTTATAACTACTATGCGTCCTCAATGGAGACGTAACTTACTTTGTGAGAGATATGGATTATGGGTTATATTTGCAAGAAGATTGGGACATGATTGATTTTAAGGGATACTGTGAGGACATCATAATCTTGTGGAACCACAGACAACAAGAACTAGCGCCAA